ATTTTATTTTATTTTATTTTATTTTATTTTATTTTATTTTATTTTATTTTATTTTATTTTATTTTATTTTATTTTATTTTATTTTATTTTATTTTATTTTATTTTATTTTATTTTATTTTATTTTATTTTATTTTATTTTATTACTATTATTTTTGTGTGTGAGAGATTTTTGCTATAGGGTGCATGTGGTCACTGGAGAGACAGAGAGAGAGACACAGAAAGCGAGAAATCACACACACACACACGCACGCACACACCCCGAGGAGGGGTGGCCACACCACAATCCCTTCTCCCTCTCCATTTTCCTCTCGGTATTTTGGGCATGCACACACACATGCCCATCATGAGTCAAGCTGCCTGGTCTGGGACTAGAAACACAGTTGACTACGTGGAATTCCGGCAATGTAACCATTACACCATCTGCTGGTCCCAGCTGCCATTTTAAATAAAGTGGTCAGAAACAGTTTTACTATGAAAGTGACAGTTCAGCAAAGACTTTAAAGAGATAAGGAAGTGCTTTATGTGGTTATGGGATGGAGAGGGGGGTGTTCCAGGTGGAGGGAATGGCAAATGTAAAAGCTAAAAGGTACAATGGTGAATGGGTGGGAAGAACAGCAGGGGAACAAATATAGCTGCAGTGAGTGGATATAGGGAAGAAGAAAAGAGAGGACAGGAAAGGAAGGAAACAGAAGGAAGAGAGGAAAGAAGCAGGAGGAAGAGAAAGAGAAGGGAGGTCACAGAGTAACAAGCGAGCCAGGCTGTATAGGGCTATATAGACTGCTTTGGAGGGGTGAGCCAATAAGAGCTTGAAAGAGCAGGTATAGCCAATTCTCTCAGGAGTTTTGCTGTGGGTGCAGGCAAGCAGAGGAATTGTATAATGTCTAAAGGTAGATGAGTTTAAGAGGAAAAGTTTCAAGTGAAAGAAATGTTTCTACTTGAAAGCCATTGGAAATAATCTAGGAGAGAGGAGAACATCACTAATGCCAGAAGGCCAGCAATTGCTGAGTTGGCAGAGCATAGAAGGCTCATGCATAATTACAGGAGGGAAGTGAGTACCTGGACACAGATTTAAGAATGTGGGTGGAAGTATTGTGGAAGTTTTCTCCTAATTGCTTTTGTTTCCTTGACAACACTAGGAAGTAAGACCATGGGCTAGGAGGATGGATGGAGAGGTTTAAGACAGAAGAGAAGAAACAAAGTAGCCCTCTGAGAGGATAGGAAAGTGAATAGACAAGGGAAGTGGGTTTACATCAAGCAGCTTTAATGGCCCCTTGAAAATCAGCAACTAGAATAAAATGAAAGGATCCCACACAAATACATGTTTCCCTTTAAGAATGAAGGTACGTGGTTTAGTAAAGCAGGTGTTAAGCCTAAATGGAACAGGGACTTGAACTCAGTCCTTCATTTTATAGTGTTTTGTATTCCCTCAAAAATGACAATTTGTGGGACCCACAGTTAGCGTAATGGCTGTGTTGCTGGACTCCCACGTAGTCGACCGCAGTTTTAGTCCTGGACCCGGTGGCTTAAAACTCACGCCGGATGTGTGTGCCTGTGTCCAAGATCCCGAGAGGATAACGGAGGAGAAGGGACTGCAGCATGGCCATCCCCCCTAGGGGGAGATTTCTCGCTTTCTGTCTCTCTCTCTCTGTCTGGTGAGCACATGCGCCCAAATAGCAAAAAACCTCTCCATTAAAAAAATGACAATTTGTTACCATCGCCATAATCAAAAAGCATTGCTTGAGATCAGGGTTGTGAAATCTGCTAAATTAAAATATAAGACACAGTTAAACTTGAATTTAAGATAAATAATAAAGTTTTGGGGCTTTTTTGTTTGTTTGGATGGTTGCTTTTTTTTGGTCTTGTTTTGATTTTTTTTTAATGTAAGTATGTCCCATGCAATATTGGGACAATATTTAAATCATACGGGGAGGGGGGGGGGAACCTCATTGCTCATCTGAAATTCCAATTAGTATCTCCTATTTATCTGACTTTCCCACTTGAGGCCTTTCTCTGAATATACAAAGAAGCAGCAGTCCCAGTTACTATCTCCCTCTAGGAGTTTTCGACCTGGCCAGACATAAATGTAAGTATAAAAAGGTGAAGCACAGTTCAGAGTAAGGCAGCATATGCCCAAGTCCGGATAAGCAGCAAAGACAGGAGTGTAGCAAAGTTGCCAAGAGCACCCTCATACAATGATTTTATGCCCAGAAACTGGGCTTGGGAAGTCCCAACACTCCTTAGCTCATGACGGCCCAAGCCCAAACCTGTAAGCCAGCATCTCATCATTGCATTTCTAGCAGTGACCAGGGCACCTAGCAAAGTGGTTGGCATATATTAAATACTCAACGATGATGCACTATTGAACCAACCAAGCCATTGGCCCATTAACAGAAGAAATAACCTATCCTCTTTCAGAAATCTGCTTTGGAAAACATGCTAACAGAGACCCAGTCTCGGTACTCCTGCCAGCTCCAGGATATGCAACAGATCATCTCCCGATATGAGGAGGAACTGATGGAGCTACGCCATGACCTAGAGCGGCAGAACAACGAATACAAGGTGCTCCTGGACATCAAAACCCACCTGGAGAAGGAAATCACCACTTACCGCCAGCTCCTAGAGGGAGAGAGAGGAGGGTAAGGCAAAGGCTATGGGAGTGGAGGATGCAAAGGGCACCCTTTGCATAAGAGATAAGGATAAATATTCACTCACTGCAGCCACATTTGATCCCCCGCTATTCTTCCAACCCATGGAACACTGTGCCTTGCAGCTTTTGCATTTGATATTCCCTACACCTGGAACCCTCCCTCTCCATCCCATAACCACGTAAAGCTCCTCCTTATCTCTTCTGCAAATGCTGTAGCCATAGTCACTCTGGAGAAAGAAAGGTTTATGCTGAATTTCTCCAGGTGATACATACCTCAGGCTGTATTTCACTAAGCAGCATGTGGGACTTGTCGGCCAATACTCTAGAACAGTTCAAATCAATATGTATATCTCTAGAAAGAAACAACTAAGAAAGGTTTGGTCGTTGTTTTTTCTAGAGGAAATGCACACAATGTTGATTCCAAGAAAAAAATAAGGCAGGGGGATGTTTTAACCTACAAAAGGAAAAGATTCTTAAGAGACTGAGATATTTAGATTTTGCATTTGGTATTTCTGACCACTGTGGAAAATAACAATAGCTAGCAATAGATAAAGGGCATATATGAGGGGACTTTAAAATGTTTATGGAGGGAACCAGCAGTTAGCGTAATGGCTATGTCGCTGGACTCCCACGTAGTCGACCACGGTTCGCGTCCCAAACCTGGTGGCTTAAAACTCACGCCGGGCGCGTGTGCGTGCGTGCCCAGGATCCCAAGAGGAGAATGGAGGAGAAGGGATTGTGGTGTGACCATCCCCCCTGGGGGGTGATTTCTCGCTTTCTGTCTCTATGTCTCTCTCTGTCTGTCTGGCGAGCACATGCGCCCTATAGCAAAAAATAAAAAACCTCTCCAAAAAAAAAAAAGTTTATGGAAAAAAGGAATCAAAGTACAGGTTTATTTTGGTGACAAAAAAAAAAATAGAAACCCATATAGTTATTTTCATAATACATGTTTTCTATGAATGTTTTGAAGACCCCTCTTACATTCTATGAACCAAGAGAAAAGGTTAAAAGTTTAGAATTTTAAAAAAGGAGAAACAAATAAAATGTCATAGGACCAAACTTTGAACAGTCTGGAATAGCTCGGGAGGTTGAGGTTCGAGACCCAGAGCTGGAAGGGATTCTGGTGAAGGCAACACTGCCAAGTCTAAGGAGGGACATGGGGGATTATAGCCTTCTGCTCTCAGGGTGAGTGGGAGGCAGTCTCATTGTCTTCTGGGTCCAGGAGTGTTCTCCCATGAACTCATGACCTTGAGATTACAGAGCTCAGACAATTAGACTCATGAAAGAGCTGAGAATTTATAAGCAGGCAAAGGAAGTTAGTTCATCCAGAGTTTTTATGATTGCTGCTAATACTTAAGTGAGTTTTAACCTTTATCACTTTTGTAGGACAATGGAAGGATCTACATCAAGCATGACAGGTAAAAATAAGAAATTTTCTTTCACTGTTTGAATCTACTTATCTTTTTCATGAATCAGCATGTTTATCCATTCTGTAGTAGTCATAATCCCTACTATACTCCCAAATGTCCAATATTCAAACCATATGTTATTCCCAAATGGCCAAATATTTTTAATTAACTGAACAAATTAGGTGGTACAGATCAAAGCAGACTCTCATATTGTCCTCAATAATACAGATGACAGCTCTGTGCAAGCAGTAGGTTAAAATGATAATTCATAGTATTATATCACTATTAAATAATGGAGTCTGCTTTCTAAACTTCTAGCAAGGTAAGAGGAAAGGAAATCACATCATTTCCCAAACTCTACTCTACTGAACACTAGAGTTCCATGACATTTAAATAATGTAGTATAAAAGATATGTTTACAGCCAGATAAAGTTGGGAATACAACATACCATTACCTTCTTCTTGAATAGTCATGTTGCATTTTAGTATGTTAAGGATGAAACAAGTACTGCTTTGAGGAAAAAAAGAAAAAGAAAAGGAAAGAAGAAAAAAAGTTTTACTTTGTTTAATCCCCTATTCTCAAACATTTTTAACCTGGGAACCCTGTTTTCTCAGATTACCCTTATCATTTCACAGAAAAGTTCCAGGAGAACACAGTCTGAAACATGCAGTATTTTATGATTGGTTTATAGTAAAACTATTCTAAGGCATTAGACATTCAGAGAATAAGAGTTGGATTAATCATCCCAGAACAACTGGTCTAACTACCAACCTACCATAAGATGGGACAGGTGGTCTTTAAGCCTTGCCTTACCCATGTCCAGGCATGAGGAACCCATTACCTGATGGAGTGGTCCAATTAACTGTTGGAGAGGTTTGACTTTAATGGACTTCTCCCTTATATCTCTTGCCTTGCAACGGTTTCAATTCTTCCCTATGGTCTTGAATTGGTTTACTGATATGTCAACAAGACACTTCTTCAAATAAGATAAATCTTTGAAAACAGCAACCATAATAAACATTTCTAGCTTCTCACCCATCCTTTACATGTTTCTATTAATAAATATTAAAATGAGATGCCATAAATGACTCTTCATGCTCTATAAGCTCATAGGATCTGTGGTGCAAAACCACTCCAGCAGAAAGGATTCTTCAGGTGCTTCAGATCAGAGACTAGCTTCTGTACCAGGCACACCTAGATGAAGGTTTTGACCTCCAGAAGGTGATATTGTTCAGAGACTCTCATCTCCTGGAGGATGTAAGGAAAAATCCTCCTTGGTGAGATCCCTTTTCACGGCACCAGAGCCTGCCATATTGCTTGCTGGTCATTGTGGAAGGCACAGGGAGCTTTCCACAGGGATCAAGAGCAGGGAACTGAGGGACCAGTGGTTAGCGTAATGGCTATGTCGTTGAACTCCCACGTAGTTGACCGTGGTTCGAGTCCCAGACCCGGTGGCTTAAACTCACGCCGGGCGTGTGTGCATGCGTGCCCAAGATCCCGAGAGGAGAATGGAGGAAAAGGGATTACGGCATGGCCATCCCTCTGGGGGCGATTTCTCACTTCCTATCTCTCTGTCTCTCTCTGTCTTTATGGCGAGCACACATACTCTACAGCAAAAAACTCTCAAAAAAATATAAAAAGATCATGAAACTGAAATGATACAGCATAGATGGTAGACAGTGACCTCTTCAATTTTTCCCTTAGTGTCTGCAGCTCCGAAGATCAAGACCATCACACAGGAGAGTATCAACGGAAGAATAGTTCTTTCTCAAGTGAATGAGATCCAAAAGCGTGTGTGAAGCCAAGCAAAGTTTCTATTGTAAAAACTATTTTCCCCCAATGTAAAGGTCTTACCCAGACACTAATGGGTGTGTTCTAAGAGGTATCCTTGGAGTTATCAAACTCAAAAACTTCGACTTTTTTTTCCTTTGTAACAATCTCACCAATTTTCAATGTTCTTAATGTAACTGCTGTACTTTTCAAATCCAAATATGAGCGTGTGAGCCTAGAGCTCTATTCTTCTACTACAACATTTGGATTGGTATCATCCTAAAGAGGGGATCTCAGACCATTGTCCATGAATGATCTAGAAGGATCTTAACACTTCGGATATATTCTCAGCAACAAAACCCTGACCAAAATGGTTACCCTGATGCCATGCAGCCTAGGGTTAAAATGTGGCTCATGAGGTTTTCTGGACTTCAACCAGAAGGAATG